ATCCACATCATGATGTAAAGAATAATTTAATCAGGAAAACTTTCTGTGGCATCCTTTAAACATATACTTCCTATATTGATATTTGATCTGCTCATTTATATTCAGCTAAGGAAACTGACTTGGGGGAATAGAAGAAATGAGTTCTTCTCAGAGTCCAGGTCCTCAGGTGGGTCTTGTCACTCTTGTCACTTTATTGGTCTTTAATGCTAAAGAGATTGGGGATGAATTGCAGCATCTCCAAAGATTATCCTGACAGATCCCATGACAATCCACATCATGATGTAAAGAATAATTTAATCAGGAAAACTTTCTGTGGCATCCTTTAAACATATACTTCCTATATTGATATTTGATCTGCTCATCTACTCTGGATGAGAAGTTTGTTTGAAATCCTCATCCATTAACAGAAAATCTCTTCCAGTTGGGTCCTACAAGAATTCACTTGTAGGAGGTTTTAGGAAAAGAAAGAATTGTGTTTTACAGTTATCTGACAGATAACTAGATACCCAAGCCAATATGGGCTTTTTTTTCCTACGGAAATGTTAACAACACGTGTCCTCTGGGAAACCAAGCTAAAACCTCACATGGAGAGAAAATTACATCAACTATAGGTCCTGTAAAAATTCAGTAGTAGAGAGAACACCTGCTGTAAATGTCATTCTCCAGTCTTTACAGCTATCCTACTGTAAATATGCAGATTCGTAGATTGCTCCTCTCCTAATTGCCGGTGTAGTGAAACACCCAGGCTACGGAGCGGGTTGTGTGGACACGGGGAGAGCATGGTTTACCTTTCACCGTCACGTGGACGCTCTGGCTGGTGGAGAGCTGCGGCTGAACCAGCACGTTGCACGTGTACTCCCCCTCATCCACCTCCTTCTGCACGTCGGAGAGCTTGAGGGTTCCGTTGTTCTCAAACGCCACTTGGCGGTGGTTAAAAGGAAGCAGATTAGAGTTCTTGTACCATTTGATGGAGTAATATGGATAGCCAATCACTCGACAGTGAATGTACGTGTCCCGTCCTGCTATTGCTGTGATGTTTTTCATTGGTCGAATGCTTGCAGGCCCTGGAGAGACACAAAGAAACTCTTGAAAATAATTTAAGTGTACATGTCGTGTGGAGAAATGGGTACACTTTTCCTTGAGTTGAAAATGTATAGATTATTTTCATGTAAGCATATCTTTTTCGGTGAAATGAATATTTTTGCATGTGGTATTTTCTCCTAAGAAGGTTTTTTTTTTCCTTTTCTTATTTTCAAATGAATTGGATGAGTGTTAAATACTTTATCAGCTACTTCTATTAAAATGTGAATTACAAGATAAAAGGCAATCTACAAGATAAAAGGCAATAAAAGGCAATAGAAAGGAACTAGTCTACACTGAACAACCATGCGATCTTGGTGAAAATGCTGGTAGCAACTGATCAATTGTTTAACTCCCTCTATAAAATATAGGATGAAGATGCAGGTTATGCCATGTTGCACTATGAATGCAAGTTTAATACCATGTACATGAAGGGTTACCATGGATGTAGTAACAGAAGAAAAGGAGAAAGGAAAAAGCATGCACAGCATAAACCAGAACAGGAAAGATCGAGTGGACGACTCTAGGAGTAGAAAAAGGGAACAAGCTGACTAGAGAAACCAACATGTCATTTCCAACATTAACCCAGTCAGTGCCATTCCTGAGTAGGAAGGAAAGGGTAGGAAACGGGAAGCAACAGTTAATCCGTTTTGGCATTCCAAGACTCCGCTCAGTGCATGCAGAAACCTTCTCCTCCACTACAATGAGTTATGTGTGTTTTTTTGAGGAGCTGATTTGACAAGCACCTCTTACGTTTATTCGAGCCTGGTACAGGACGACTCCCGCAGAGTTGTTGGCCGTGCAGCGGTAGACGCCCCCGTCCCGCACCTGGGAGCTGGAGATGTTCAGGTAGCTGACCACGTTCCCCTCCGACGTGATCATCTGGCTGATGCGGTGACCGCCACCCTTAAGGATCGGGTCGTCGTCCAGCGTCCACGTGATGGTGGGCAGAGGTGTTCCCTTCACGTTGCACATGAGGGAAACCGGTTCTGCTGGACTCACCACCTTCTCACTGAAGGCAGAAATAATTTTGGGAGTTCCATCTGCAGGAAAACAAATTGTGGAAGGAAGTGGCACATACAGATAATTAAACAAATCCCAAATACACTTATTCAGTGGTTAGGAGGCAGATGTAGTGGTTGTTAAAGACTGCCTACAAAGGTCTGGTTTTATTGATAAAGTGAAATCCCAATCAGGATGAGATTTCACTCCTTTCAAAACTGGTAAGCATCGCATTAGCAAGCTTCTACAAATCGCTTTAATATTTCCTGATTGTTGTAACAAGAGCAACGGTAATGCACCCCAGATGTTCAGGATAAACAATGGCACCTCCCAAGAAGTCTCCAGTTCAAAACTCATCTATCCCCACCCAAAGTTATAAACAGAGAGGAAATCCACCCACCTCCAAAAAAATTAACAGTCACTTTAGCTTTTTACTTCCCTCAGGTTATTTAGGGATTTCTCACTAGAGAATTGTTTAGAGGAATAAATGAAACTACTGGGAGACTGATTATCTCATATTCATCATTTTCCCATAGGAAATAATCTTTTATGGTTTTAATTACAAATGGTAATTACATGTAAATTTCCATGAAGTCTCTGAGAACGGTAGAAGCTAAATAAAGTTTGTATTCAATATTATATGTTAAACATCTCTAAAAGTATCTTCAGTAGGGTGGCCATATAATTTAACATCCAATCTGGGACAATTCTGAGAGTGAAATGGGTACTGCTAATAATTACGCCAAAAGAACAGGCGTGACCCAGAACTGTCACAAGCAAACTGGGATCTTAATCTTAAGAGAAGTTTCCTTAGGAATTTCTCATATGTTTAACAAAGATCACATTTTCATATTCCATTATTTTTCTGTCACATAAATGGACTATTTTCCTCTTATTATATGGTAATAATCACAAATGCATGTTCCTTTTTAATATGTATTTCCACTAACGAAGAGATACATGCATATTAAAGGAAATGTATAAAAATCGAAAGAATAAAAGTTACCAATAGGCCAACCAGCCTCAGGCATACAAATCAACATTGTGACACATTTTTTCTAGGCATAAGTGGGTCATTTTGACATAATCGTGACCACATGCAACAGGATTTCTGAGTCTGGTAATAAACCTTGCTAGAGGGCAAGTGTTTTGTTTTATAAAAGAATTTTTGTGCTCCCTTAAAGGATTTGTCCTATAATGATTACTAGATTTTTTTTTAGTTTTTAATTTCGACTATAAAAGTAATATATCTTAGTTGAAAAATCGGAAAGTATAGATAAAAGGAAGGGGGAAAACAAAACTGAGGATAGCCTGTAATTCCATCAGGGAAAGATAACTGTTAACAGTTCCAAATAACCCTTAGGGAAGTGTTGCTTTGCAGCCTGGTTCTGTGGCCGGGCAGGCCAGCTGTGGGGGTTCTCCTGGCAGTCGGTGGGGGCTGAGCTGCTGCCCTTCCCTATGTTCCTCTACCACCTATTCGTCCCCAAATTCCTGCATCTCACTGCATCCAACTCTTGTTTCAGGTGGCTGGAGAAGGCCCAGAGTAGGATTTTTTTTCTCCCAGATGCATTCCTACGTAGCGTATTGCAGTGTCCTTGGATTGCAAGCATTTGTCTCTTACTATCAGAGACGATAAAAGAACTTTAAAATATTAAAATGAAAAATCTGTGCTTTTGCCTTTAAGACACTGCAGACATTGCCTCATCGTACTCTGTATTTAAATTTACAGAGAAGTTAGATGTCATCATGATTGTTATTCGTGGTACATAACCCGTCCTTAGTGCTTGGGAGGATCGAGGTTATTTTTGTTTGTCCTTCTAATTCCTTGATTTTTGGATTTTAGGCTGGTGTTTAGCTGTAAGTTTCTTTGCACTGATTTTACAGTAAGCACTGTAAACTCGAGTGTTTTTATCTGTTTAGGAAAGTGTTCTTTAGCCTAATTTTTTTGTCGGTATGGTTTACATACAATGAAATGTATAGGTCTTAAGTAAACACATGAGTTTTGGAAACTATATACACCTGTATATCCATGAAAATGATCAAGATATAAAACATTTCCATCACAAAAGGTCCTTATGGGCTCCTTTCAATCAATCTCCATCCAGCATAGGTAACTACCGTTCTGATTTCTATCAGAAATGATGTGTTAATTTTGCCTGTTCTTGAGCTTTAAATAAATGTAATAATAGAGTATGTACTTTTTATAGTAAATACATATATTCTATCATACACACAGTACACTTAATAAAACTATGAAATATAATTTTGGAACAGTACTATTACCTAATGCACAGTCCATATTCAAATTCTGCCAATTGATCAATAATGTCGCTTTTTTCCAGTCCAATCAGTATGACACATTATTTACTTGTCATGTCATTTCAGTATCTTTTCATCTGGAATAATCTTCAATCTCTTTTGTGTTTCTTGACTTTGATATTTTTGAAGAGTTTTTTTGTAGCCAGTTGC